CGGCTCCCAGGCACCGCTCGGAGATTCGGGGCCCTGCCGGGTGGGTTCACACTCTGCCTGGGCTCAGACACCTAGACCCGGAGTAGGGGTCGGGCGTAAAGGAAAGCCTGGTGCCTCAGTTTCCCCGATGGCGAAGAGGGTTAGTAAAGGGGGTGTTGTGAGAGGTTATGGGATCGCTTGGAACTGTGCCCATCCCATCATTGGGATAAGTGTCAGCTATTATTGTTATTGCTATTGTTAATCACTGAAGGGAGTAGTCTGGGGGAAATGAACACTCCCGCCCCCCACCAAATCCTCGCTCCCGTCAGATCTTGGTTGTGTTTGGGTAATGATAGGGTGAAATGAAGACTACTGCTTCAGAGACTGGTGTCTCCATCAGCCTAACACTGGGAGGCCGAGGCAGGAGGATCTCAAATTTGAGCCCAGCCTGGGCGACTTAGTGAGACTCAGTCTCAAAATTTTAAAGGTAAATTGCCAGCGCCGGGCATGGTGGCGAATGCCTGTGATCCCAACACTGGGGAGGCTGAGGCAGGAGGATCGCTGTGAGTTTGAGACCAGCCTGGGCTACACAGTGAGTTCCAGAGCAGTTTGAACTACACAGCGAGACCCTGTCTCAAACAAACAAACAAACAAAAAATAAATAAATAAATTGCAAGAGTGATGGTGCACACCTGTAATCCCAGCACTCGGGAGGCTGAGGCAGGAGGATCGCTGTGAGTTCGAGATCAGCCTGGTCAACTAGTGAGTTTCAGGTTAATCTCAACTACATAGTGAGACCCTGTCTCAAAAAAGAACCGAAAAATAAATAAAAATAAAAGTAAATTAACCTAAAAAGGGCTGGGACGTCAATCCGTGGGTAACCCCTGGGTTCAATCTCCCATACTAAGAAAAAACAAAAGCGCTCCCGCCGCCCCCAGGCCGGGGCCAGGTCTCCCACACAAGGGGATTCCTATCCAGAGGGGTGGGGTCTCTCTTCCATCCTCTTTGGGCCTTCGGGGGAGGGCCCAGCCCCCAGGGCTGAAGTAGGAAGGCCGCCCATCCACCCCTTTCTGGGCAAACGGCCCTGGAGGGGCCAAATCGGGCTTAGCCTGTGTGAAGCGGGCCCGCGGGGCGCCTCCACAGTTCTGGGGACCGACTCCGGGGGCCCAGCCGC